TGTATATAAAAATTATCTATATATAAAAATCTATATTTATAAAGTAAAAAAGAAAAAGAAACTAAATTTATAAAATGGCGCTTTCAGTCACTTGAATGTCAAAATCAATATTGTTTATGTCGTAGGTTCGTTTGATAGTCCTTGATCCTCGTAAACATACAAGTGCAGATCTCAGGAGAGAGAAACTAGTCTTTGCCCTTATCCATGCCATTGTTTTGTTATAGTCTTCACCTTTCTTTAGTGCTATAAGTTCGGCGAGTCTGCTGTGATAAGTTCTGCATTCTTTGCTCATACCTCCTGTGGTGCAAAAGACAAGGGGTGTAAATGTTCCATGTTCGATTTCATTTACTCGTTCGGCGTATTTGCGCTTCTTGTCGTCTTCATGTAACTTGTAGATTTTGGGTAGATCTAAATCCTTGTACGTATCTGCATTTGGGTGACAAACCCTTACGTCAAAAAAGGCAGAACTTGCTTTTCCCAGAACCCACGAGCGTGGATATCAAGTCTTGCGTCTGCGGCTTTGTTTGCTCCTTTGCTTAGATTTATATCCGTAGTTGGCTGTAGCAGGGGCTCAATCACGACGTCATTACATACTGTGTTGAGGAGTTCAGCTTCCAGATCGCGTAATTCGTTATGACGTTGGATTATAAACCCTCCTCGTTTACAAATCATTGCGTGATCGACAGAGAAGTCTTCACCACATACACATTTTGATGGAATGTCGTTGAAAGCCCAGTTGTAGCGAAGTCGTAGAGCATCTCTAAATTCTCTCCTGTTCAAATCAAACCCCATTTCCTTAAGAGGAATAACCGTTAACCAGGTTGATGCTCCTTTCTCTGCGGCTAATTCTAAGGATCTTACTGTTACCTCTGGTAGACTTTCTTTTAAGCTTTCCCACCAAGGTTACTAAAAGATACTCATTTGCTTTAGTAGATACAGATGTCCTAACCGTCCACGCGCCAAGGCAGAGTTCCGGACTGCCTTTGGCACAGGTAAACCTCTACGTTACATGAGATATCCAACAATCTTTTGGCCACAAGAGTCCTTGGCACCTCTGTTTACCACGACTTCAACAGGCATGGTTGATATCACAGTTTCCTGTTTTTCTGGGCGTGGAAAAAAGATGAACTTTGGTGTTTGAAAAGCAAAATCCGATGCCACAACAACATTTTTAATGCTTGTCAGATCACTGAAGAGTGCATAATCTTTCTCCTGAAAGGTACGTCATCCTTTATGGCCGAATATGTGACAGAAGTCAAGTTAATGATGCCATCAACTGTTCTCCAAAAAAGGAAAGTCTATTTCGTCTGACAAAGCAGCTCTGTTGGAGCATACCAAACATACTTGCTACCAGGGATCACACCGCTGGGGTCATGCTTGAACATCACAGCCCCAGCTTCCAAGTCCACAAGATGGGGACTCAGGCCGGATACAGATCACAACTGATGAAAGGCAGCCATACTGGAAATCTCTTCCTGATGTTGCCCAATCGTACAGAGAGCTTATTCGCTGTCCATGTACAATAGCTGTTCTGGAAGGTGTTCATGCTTTAAAGCTGTTCAGCTTTGTGTTCCTGTACTTTCACATTATAAATTATGAACACATGTAACTATTATATTTGGTAAGCGCTAATAGTCTGAACAAAAAATTACTTAGAAGCAATTTGAATGAAAAGGTATCCTGACATGAAATTCAACAGAATAGAATTGTGTATGATTATTTAGTCCATAAAACTCTATGTTTTAATCAGCTGTGAATGCGTTGTTTTCTCTCTTCAATATCGATTAGCTGCTGTGGTACATCTTATTAAAAAAGATTTTCAGGCTTCATATTGAATAATACTGCAATAATAATGAGACAACTTCTGGCATACAATTACCTTAATTGACTTATTGGGATCCTTGAACTTCAAAAGGCTGGTCGAATAAGATTCGAACAGGGTCCACAGAGGTGAAGGTCCCTCTCACCGCTTAGTTACACTTACTTCCTTAAAACAAGATTATTGTATGTGGGTTTTGTCATAAAAAGTTTTAATTTTCATAGTCCTTTGTCATAATAAATGGACAGCGAGCATTTCCTATTTTGCAGAATCCCAAACAGTTTTAACTTCGTCTTCAAAGCCTATTTTAAAATCATTTATTAATTAAAATGAAAATGTGCATGTCTTTTTCTAAAACAAACATCTTACAGCTTTGGCGGTCAAAAACGCCCAATCTTTATTATGCGAATTCTACTTCCGGTTTACATATCAAAGAATTGTATATCA